AACGTTAAAAAAATTAAAAAAAAAAAAAAAGAAATTAGCTGGAGATGGTAAACTGGAGCACGAATGGCTTAGTCACTAGAATGGAGTTTGGAGCTGTATTGACATAGATTTCAATCTGATTTTCCACCTGGCAAGATAGTTAACACCTACATTTCAATTGTCTTACCTTCAAAGTAGCAGTAATAACATTTCTTACCTTAAAACCTTGAGGGTGACATTAACCAGCACGAGTGGAAACATTCTCCAAGGTCCAGGGGGGGCACAGCGCTAGGCTCGGAGCAGTCGTGGCGGCAGTGACGGCCCCATGCATGCACCTGGCTCGGTCCTGCTCTTCAGTGTTGCCAGTCCTCAAGCCTGATTTTCTTCATTTGTTTGTCTTTTAGTGTTAGAACCATGCCTAAAACCTAAAATCTCCCTTCAGTAAAACCAAGCAGATCGACGTTACTTGAATATTAAAAAAATACACGTTAAGGGTGGTGACATTAGTGTGGAGGTGCCACGGAGAGGCAGCCAGGGAAGCTCCCTCTGGCCATAGCGGTGATGGCACAGAGTGAGAGGAAGTGTCCAAACAAGAGGCAAAGTGGCCACCGTGGGTGTCCCTTCCCAAGCACTTTGGTAACCCTGATGCGGTGGGAGTGCAGCTTTCGGGTGTTTTCAGGTATTAAAGGTCATTTGTTAATTTGGTGCCACAGCTCAAAGTTGCTCCTGAACCTCAGATTAAAGGAGGGAAATTCTGAAGGTGGAACGTTTCATTCACCTCTGAACGTGCTTCTTCCTCAGGTTCCCTGTGACAGAAACTCAGAGATCGAGGAGCTGAGGTCCGTCATCGAGAATCTGCGAGAGAACCAGCAGCAAATGCAGAAAGATAAGGCAGAGGAGATGGAGCAGCTCCATGAAGTCATCGAGAGGCTGCAGAGGGAGCTCTCCCTCGGCGGCCCCGCGCCACTCGGGGCCCAGGTCAGCGAGCTGCCCGGTGACCCTGTGGCCAGCCCCGAGGCGCTGGTGGCGACGGAGCCCGCGGGCCGGCTGCTCTCGGAGCAGGAGCGCCAGCACGGCCAGGCCCTGGAGGCCCTGCAGCGGCGCCTGCAGGCCGCTGAGGAGGCCGCCGCGCGGAAGCTGGCCGAGCTGGAGCACAGCGCAGCCCTCAGGGAGGCTGAGGTCCAGGGCATGGCCTCCCAGATCCAAGCCTTTGAAGCTGCCCTAAAAGCAAAGGAAGCGAAGATTGCAGAAAGGGATTTAGAAATCGATGCTCTGAAGCAGCAGAAACTGGCCCACTCCGCCGAGCTGGAGACCATCCTGTCCGCCTTCTCCCGCTTCCGCCGTTCCCTGGAACAGCAGCCCCTGACCGCTGAGGATGAGCCCCCAGAGCTTCAGCGGCTCCGAGCGCAGTGCGTCCGCCTCAGCCGCCAGCTCCAGGTGCTGAACCAACGGTTTCTGAGGTGCCAGAAGGAGCTGGACAAGCAGCAGGCGCGAGGGGCCCACCTGCACCCTCGTGCAGAGGGCAGCTCCCAGGGACGAGGCCCCGGGGGCGAAGAGGCCTCTGATGACAAAGCGTCAGGGCAGGACGTGGGCACAGCCCCTAACAGCCGTGTCGGAGACCCACAGGTGGGCCTTGTTCCTTCCTGGTCCGCAGAAGGGACAGCCTCCGTGCATAGGGAGCTGGGGCTGGGGTGCGCTGGGGGAGCAGGCACACGGTGGTACAGGGGTGCGTTGGGGGAGTGGGGGCACACACGAGGGTACAGGGGTGTGTTGGGGGAGCAGGGGCACACACGAGGGTACAGGGGCATGCTGGGGTGGGGGGGGGCGGGGCACACATGGGGGAGCCAGGGAGCACTTGGCGCCTGCAAGAGGCCCTGACCCAGACCACAGAGCACTCTGGCTAGACCAGGGATGGTTGGATATTCTGTCCAGGAGGACCTACCGTTCCTCCTCCTTTCTCTTTAAGTCAATGACTGTCCTTCGTGTGCCAGGCAGTGTGGGATAGAGTTTCCAGAGGGTGGCTTCTGGTGCTGTAGAGAGAGGAATCTGAAGCTCGTGGCTCCTGGGTGCATTTCAAGTCCCTAGAACCTCAGGTCAGAACATGTGTACACAGTGGAACCTGGGGCTGCACTAGTTCCTATACTTTTAAACTTCATATCTTTGAGAGTGATTGAAGGTTTTCAAAGCCCTATGATAGGGAACATTAAATGATGCAGAGATGGCTTTGTTTTAAGAGGCTCCTTGCATTTTCCTCTCTGGACTCTATTCAGTTACTTTGTTGTTGTTGTTGTTGTTAAGTTTATTTATTTTGAGAGAGTGCAAGCAGGAGAGAGGGGAAGAGAGAGAGAGAGAGAGAGAGAGGGGGAGAGGACCTCAAGCAGGCTCCATGCTCAGCGCAGACCCCGACCCGGGGCTCAGTCCCACAAACCGTGATGTCACGAGTCGGGTGCTCAACCGACTGAGCCACCCTGGCACCCCTCAGTTGCTCTAATTTTTAACACTCCTCTCCTGTGTAAAACTTTTTAAGTTCATTTCAGTTTGGTCCTGAGAACTCCAGACTCTCTGCCTGCTGCCCCCTGCCATCTGCAGCTTGTGTGGAGCAGCTCCCAACGTTGGCCCGTGCGTTGTGGGGTTTCCTGGCCGGTGCCCGTGTCACGGCGAGCACGTCCTGGCCTGCTGTGGCAGGGAGCAGGCCGTGTGTGCAGTGCTCCCCTCTGGTCTCCTGTCCTTCGTGATTTAGGAGACGGGGACTTGCTGATGCCACCTGTGGACCTTCCCTCGGGGCCCTGCTGGCCAACATGCAGGCTCCAGAGCTCCGGGAAGTCCCAGGCAGCCCGACGACTGTGCTCCGTGTGCGTCGTTCTTCCTGGTGCTTTTAGCTCTGCCTTCACGAGCGTCATCCTTGTTTTCTCCGCTTATTGCAGAGTGCAGTTAACGGTGATCTGCAGCCTGCCAAAGCCCCGGTGACGCCAGACCACCCAGGTCCAGACAGACAAGACCGCGTGACGTCTGTGCTCGCGGCCTGCCAAAAGCAGCTGGAGTCTGAGCTGCTCTTGGTGAAGAGTGAAATGCACTTGAGAATGGACGACCGTGGCAAAGCACCGGGAAGGATGAAGGTACCTGGGCACACAGCACGTGGTGCTGAGCGGGCATAGACCAGTGTTACATGGATGGCGGCTCTATTGTGTTCTCAGAGTGGTCTCTTCACATCTGTTTTGAAGTTTCCTACATTTTTTTTGTTTGTCGTTTTTTTTTTTAGGTATTCTCTAGAAATGCACATTTCCCATGGTCTAGCCTATGAAAAATGAGCAGTTACTTCTCCCTTAGTGATAGCAGTAGGATTTAACTGGACTCTAAGGTCTGTCCCTAGGGTTTTCTGTGTGAGGACAGCTGCTCTGTGGCTCAAGGCCTTTATCACCAGTGTTACTTTGAAAGCTCGCATTTATTTTTTTGAACCTCAGGGGTTTTCCCTGCATGTTTTGACTTTATGCTCCTGGCAAAGAAGAGCATAGTAATCTGGAACGCAGCAGTTTGAGCACTCTCGTCACCAGGGCAGAAACAACACGAGAGCTGACTTCTCTTTCCTGGGCTGGGGGCTGCACATTGGCCCATCAAGTGTTACAGGGTCAAGGTGTTCCGAAAATCAAAAGTGGCTGGTTTAAAGGTTTTCCTAAGGGCGGTGGCAGAGTGTGATTAGACCCTGGCTCTCGAGCCTGCCAGTGTAGACGTTACACAGTTCGGCAGGATGTTCCAGCTCTGCTTTTCTGGGAACTCTCCTGTGGCGTGCCAGGTACACCGCATCCCTGTGTAAAGTCTGCAGGTTCTGAATCGTGCAGGTGTAGGCCCAGGGACTTCAGGCCAGGCCCACACACCCGTGCCTGCGGTTTTGACCGAAGATGCCTAAATCTGGTTTTATATGTTCATCAAATCCCCACAGGAAGTTTAATTCTGTTTGGAGAGGACTTGTTCTCTAACTCTGTGTAGCAAACATATCTCCATGCCCTTTTGATAAGAACATTTGTTTGAATTTTTAAGAGGTCAACCCCATGATTATGCTCTGGTTGCAAAATTCTTGGAAGTTACATATGGACAAGGAAATGCCAAATTCATTCCATAAATCACTATTTTATATTTTTCTTTTTTTTGTTCTAGGTTTTTACTCAAGTAATCTCTACACCCACCCAGTGTAGGACTTGAACTCATGATCTTGACATCAAGAGTCACATTCTCTTCTGGGGCAACTGGGTGGTTAAACACCACCGGTTAGGCATCCAGCTTCAGCTCAGGTCATGATCTCGAGGTTTGAGGGTTCAGTCCCTGCGTCGGGCTCTGTGCTGTCAGCTCGTAGCCTGGAACCTGCTTCAAATTTTGTGCCTCCCTCTATGTCTCTGCCCCTACACCCTTGCGTGTGTGTGCACTCTCTCTCTTTCAAAAATAGATAAACATTTAAAAAAAAAAAAAAA